TGATAGATGAGCTTCGCCATGAGGCCCCGTTGGGCAAAAGCCACCACCAATCATTGTTTTTCAGTATCAAGTGTTGTGCAGAGAAAACGCTTCGGAAGCGTGAACGTTAGAACTTTGCTAAAGGCGACTATTATAAACTCCGTGAAGCGGTGAATGCGGCGAGTATTTCGGATTGTATTAAGGACATGAATGTGGCTGATTCATGGTCGTTTCTCAAAGACACGGTTATGTCAGCAGTTGATACCTGTGTACCTAAGATTACGCTTGGTGGACTCAAAATGTCCCAGTGGATGAACAGTGCAGTTAAGGCTCAGCTAAAGACCAAGAAAGAAGCATACAAGCGATATTTACGAACTCGCAGCGATTCTGATTATAACCTGTATGCAAGGGCTCGAAATCAAGCTTAAAAAGTCTGTCGCACTGCAGTGAAAAATCTCGAAAAAAATATTGCTAGGAATGCAAAAGAGTATCAGAAAGCCTTCTTTTTGTACGCTAGTTCAAAGTGTACATCGAAGGACGGTATATCTGATTTGAAAGTAGACCAACGAAAGATTTCCTCTGATGAGGGCAGGGCTAACGTTCTTAATCAGTTCTTCAGCAGTGTGTTAACAGATGAGGAACAGTATTCCAGATATTGAGGAGCGCTCAACCGGCTCGAAGTTAACAGGTTTTGAAATACACGAAGAAGAGGTTCTCAAGCGCCTGGAAGCTCTAAATCCCAACAAGTCATTTGGACCAGACGGCTTCCATCCCAGATTGCTCAAAGAATTAGCAACCGTTCTGGCATGCCCATTGACAGTATTCTTTCAAAAAACCTTGAACGAAGGAACTTTGCCGTCCGACTGGAAAGAAGCTCAAGTAACACCTATGTTCAAAAAAGGTGACAAAAGTAGCCCCAGTAACTGTCGCCCTGTCAGTCTGACAAGTGTTTGTGAGCTAATGGAATCTGTTGTGAGGGATAGGATTATCGATCACTTGAGTGCTCACCATCTCATATCAGATTGTCAACATGGTTTTATCGCCGGTAGATCCTGCACCACTAACTTATTAACTACGTTGAACGATTGGACTTGCTTGCTGGACTAATGGGAGCCAGTATCCTTAGTATTTGTTTGGGACATAGCAGTCCCAGGCCACGATGAATCGCCGCCTCTGATTATCGTTCATCCGCCCTCATTTGGGCCACCTGATGCACGATGCTGTTGCTTGCTTCTCGCCACTAGTAGTGTTGCAGGGGAGGTCGATCTGGGATTGTGCTCAGAAACACGTCTAGTTGTCTTTTGAAAGTATCCAGGGTGAACTCCCCCTCTCTTAGATCCCTTGGTAGGGCGTTGAACAGCTTTGGCCCTGCCACGGAAAGCGATCCTTCCCGCAGGGATTGAAATCTGACTGCGGATCTGTTACGCATGGGAGGAATCTTGCACAGTCTCCCCCGTCTCTCGTTGTGATATGTCTGAATCCTGAAGGTCTCGCTCTCGAAGTTTGGCACCATTCCGGTTATCATTTTCCATGTGTACAGAATGATGAGGAAGAGGATTGGGCCGAGTACCGTTCCCTGCGGTACTCCACTCTTCACCCTAGCCACGCTCGATCTCGAGCCTCCAACAACTACAGCTTGTAGTCTTTCTGTTAGGAAGCTGTGGATCCATGCCAGCAATTCACCTCCGACTCCCAGCAGTCTTAATTTTCTGAAGAGCACTCCATGGTCGACTTTGTCAAACGCTTTCGCGTTTAGGTGTGACTCGGTTAAGGCAAGCATGATTATTCCTTCTGTCTCAGCAATTTCTTTAAGTACGCCGATCTTGTGGCGTTTTCTTCTTGGGAAGAGCCCCTCTATATTAGCTATCATGATGCTAGACTCTTCCCTTACTTGCGTCCTCAGTTGCTGTAACACTGCACATCCAGGGGTCTCTGGCTCGATCTGCAGCTGTTGCTGTGATTTCTGCTGTTGTTCGTGCAATGTCAACAGCTGCTGAATTTGTTGTTGAATCTGATCTACTTGTCTCTATAGGCCTAAAAAATGGCTGCGCTTCGTATCGAGTCCTGTTTGTTCTTCTTCACTCCGGTAGGTTGTGTTGGCCGGTGCGAAAATTTTTGGAACTGCTCTGTACCTTTGATTTCGATAGATTCGCCCTTCCCAGAACTGATTTTTTAATCATGCAATTTTTTTCTGAAGTTTTGGGTTTGACAGTATAATCTATCCTGTGTTCCAAGGAGGAACTATCAGGGTCACGTCTCTCTTCGGCATTACCACTCAACTGCAGGTTGAGTTTAATTAAGGTGGTGAAACCGACAGGAATCACGTTTGCAAGCTACATTTTTAATAGTATTCCAGCATAGGAACGGATGGTAATATTGACAGTCTCTGCATTTTTTGCATGCGCGTTGGATTTTGCTTCCAAATGTTGCAAATTTTTAGGGTGAGAATAGTTACAGTTCATTTCTTCATTCTCCCCATCGCACTTGCCCTGAAGATATCTCCAGCAAACGCGTTCCTTAACAGGTAAATACATCTTGTTCGAGGCATTTAAAGAGGAGAGGGGAGGGGCAACGCTACGGTCAAGGGTCTGGGTAGGCGGCGCATGTCGGGCAGCAGTGAGGGATGGGGGGGAGGGAGTGAGGGGAGTTGAGGGAGTAAGGGGAGATGAGGGAGTTGAGGGTAGCCGCGTCTTAGTCGAACAGAGAGACCCATTCACAATAGGCCTTCTTCTCTCGGACGCTCGAACTGTTTGCACACTCTCCATGGCTTCTTTCACCCACCCCTCGTTCATAACGCATTTTCTACACATGAATGATGTTCTCGTTTTTAAATATCTTGCAAGTTGGTATTTTGGAAGTAGTGAACATTCGAAGTTACAAAATTGTCTGCACGATTTTAGTGCTAATTGTCCAAAATTGCATTTGTTGCATTCCAGACATTCTCCGGCAGGTTTACTAACACAGAGTTTGGCTGCCATATTTCACAATCAATTGGTAACTCACTCACTTTTTACTGACTTTACTTAATTCCAGACTATTCACTGGAACACTTCAGTATAGTATGAGTCAACAGAGTTAAATCGTACTCAATTTTTTCTCAATCAATCGTTACCCGCACTCTATTTTTAATGGCTGTACTCAGTTTTTCAATCAATTGTTACTAGCATTCAATTTTTTACTGACTTTTCTTAATTCCCGACTATTCACTGGAACACTTCAGTACAGAATGCAATAACACAGTTGAACCGGCAAAATTAAATGTAACCGGCGGACCGCGCGCGACACCGAACGCCCGTTCGACACGCTGCCACAACAACAACTCTGCATGCCCACGCGACAACTTCTCCAGTGGATGCATTGTACCTCGATTTTTCCAAAGCATTTGATAGTGTTCCGCTTGAGCGGCTATTGCGTAAAGTGAAGTCTCTGGGAATTGGAGGAAACGTACTCCAATGGATCAGAGATTTTCTAGTAGGTAGACGACAACGTGTCAGTAATAACGGAACCGTGTCAGACTGGGCATTAGTGCGCAGTGGCGTAACACAATAGTTTATGATACAGTGAAGGATGCGTCAAAAAAGCGCAATTGCAAGATTATCTTGACCGTTTAGTTATTTGGGCTGATACGTGGCAGCTGCGGTTTAATGCTGACAAGTGTAAAGTACTTCAGCTCGGGAAGAACAATGAACAGCAAGATTACAGTATGAGAAGACATGGTAGCAACGAGAGAGTAATAACTGAACATTCAAGTGTGGAAAAATATTTCGGATTTCATGTCAACAAGGAGCTGAAAATTTCTAAGCATATTTAAACGCAAGCTAACACATCAAACAAACTTTTTGTTCTAATCAGACGCTCATACGAGTTCCTAGATGCAGAAGCGATGAAGTAGTTGTTTGTTGCTGTCTTGCGCCCGAATCTAGAGTTTGGGAACGTTGTGTGGTCACCGAGATTTGAAAAGGACAAAAATTTAATAGAGAATGTTCAAATACGTTCAACGAGGATAATTCCAGGCTTGCAGGGCAAGTCCTATGAAGAAAGATTAAAGATTATGAAGCTTCCAAGCCTAAGTTATCGACGTCTGCGTGGGGACCTCATTGAAGCATACAAGTATTATATGGGTTATGCAAGGTTCCCGAAGGATTACTAGAATTTGAAACAAGAAGCAACACCAGAGGCCACGACTATAAACTAAAAAAACTGAGCTGCAACTTCTCCACGCGACAACATTTCTTATCGCTTCGAATCACCGTCATGTGGAACTGCTTCCCCGATTACATCATTGGCGCTCCAAGTATGAACGCTGTCAAGAACAGACTAGATAAAGCTATGGAAAAATATATGTTCAGACTAGAAATGCCTAGAACCATATCGAACCCGGTGGAAGTCTAGTAGCTATTTCAAACTATCGTCAGTCCTGAAAAGATCCGGTCAAATGACACAATTTTAGATCTTCTGTGAAGAAGGCACGAAAAGTAAAAGAATCGGCGACAGGCCACATCAGGCCTACACTTCAGCGCCGACATCACTATGTTATGTTATGCTGAGCTCGCACACGAACGGCCGAATAGCTTCCGCCTACTGCCTATTTCCGGTCAATGCAGCTACAGTCTCTGGGCAGCTTGCAGGCGCGGGATAGGCTTGGCCAAGCCCATGTTTGCCATACACTGAGGAGACTCTGAAGTCGACAAGGCTAGCCTAACTAGTCGCTGATCTCGATCGGGCAGCTAATAACTCTAACCCAACTATGGCGAGTCTGTGGCGGAGGCTGAAGCATACCCCAAGTTTTTTAAGTGAGAAACCTGTGAACCAGCGAAGATCTGCGAATGATTCATCTCATTAACATTTCTTGAAACCCCGCGATGAAGTAAAGCTGCGATAGGTGAAGCGCCACGTAGCGAAGGACTACTGTATTTTCGTACCAGGGAAAATTGTCATAGTTAATATTTCGTCACATTGACATTCGTCCATATAACATTGAGAGACCAAGATTCAGATGGAGGATAAATGAATTTTTTAAGTGTTGTTTATACATGTATTGTGAAAACCTCTCAATGGAAAAGTACACCAGACTAATTAATTACCTACGAACATTTAAATAAATATACCTTGCTTGTTGCTCTCATGTTCCCTGTTGAGTAAAAGTTATTTCCTTGCTTAATTAAGGAGAGGAGCTGTTTCCCAAATCCTTGTCAGACTCGGACGTATTCTGTGTATAACGTATTACGAAGGTAAGACGTATCAACACAGATTTGCCATAAATTTTACAGCTTGCTAAATACCGTGCCATTTCGTTCAGCAAACTAGACGCTGATCCGGGCATAGAGCCGCTAATTAACGTATTGGGTGAGTCTCTGGCATCCCTAAATCAGGAGCCAAACATCATACAGATTTTGTAAGATGAAGATGTAAGATGGAGCAATATTTCCCTCAAAATAAAATAGAAATATTTTACTGCCGAAAGTTTGATGTCCATGCATGTCGAGTGGGTTTATTCAATATGCTGACAATTTTTTGGAAGTGGAGTAGCTTATAAGCGGATTCGGCTGCGTTAGTCATTTTTATTTTTTATGTGAAAACATATAACCGCGTCATGCAATATTTTTCAGGAAAGGATGTTTTGTTATAATAATGGGGCAGACTTGACGTACGATCTTGAGGATTAGGCTACCCTTTTGTGGGTAAATTTCTTTCATGAATTTGTCGCCAAAGTGCACGCCATAGCTGCCGGGGAAGATCTGGGGGGCAAAACTCGTGTTTTAAAAGATATCCTAATATAATTGATCTATAAATATTGAATATATGACAGGTATAATTTCAATAAATTGTTATATTATTCGGGTAAACTTACGTTGAGAAAGGGATTATGCAACGAAAAATAGACTCACTTCTTCGATTGTTTGGTTGTTGGAGCCCTTGCGCGAAGCGAGGAATAGTTTTCCGTGAGAATGTGACCAATGAATGGGATAGAAGATGGATTGTTTCAAAACCAGCCAATCGCAGACCTCAAGTTTCCTTGCTGAACAACATGGGAAATAGGAATCTTAAAAACTCCAGGATAGTAAAAACAAATTATGAACTTTAACGTTACTCAGATAATACTGATCTAAAAACATATGAGTAGGTAAAACAAACACAATACTGCCAAAGATGTTTATGACGTTCTATGGAAGGCAATAGTATGGGATTTGAATTTGAATTACATACTCAAGTCACTGAACAATATTATCTATGATAATGTAGTCAATATACGGTTGCGTAAATAGATAATTTCCTCAGTCGACAGTCCTAATTAGCGACAAAGATTAAATGTCCCTGTGTCATGGGAATAGTTAAACTTAATATGTTGAAATTCATGAAGACAAATGATACATTTTATAAAAAATCAAAAACTAACCTGGTTTTTTCTTATGTTTTGTAGAATTTCCAAGAACTGCGGGTTGGGATTGAATTGAAATAGATTCTCCCGTTGCGTTGCTTGGTATTACGTCGCAGCCCAACCGCTCAACCGTCTGCATTATGGCCACAGGGCCGTTGTAGGCCCAAATGATTCCCTAGAATAGGAAACAAACCTTTCGATGCCAGACGAAAACAAATCGCCAAGCACATGAAGAAATTTCCTATCCAAAAACTGATCTCGTGACACTGATTAAATCACAAATTATGATATAATAAATGTATGGTTCGAATTTTTATATTACTTCCAACTTTAAAAGGAATTGGCGTACTTCCTAATTTATAATGGCCAAGGGGGAAAAGTATTATGTGATGCAAATTACTCTTGATGGTTTCTAAAATACTTTAATGATTCAAATCAAAGGAAACGCTGAGTGCGTTCATTAATTGGGATGCACTTAGCATCGCTTTGGACTGATGCGCCGATATCGACGGATTTCGCCATATAGAATTAATTTTTCGTTTATCATATTAATATTAATACTTATCATATTATGTTTATCATATTAATCATTATATTATCATAAGAATAGTCTAGAGAAAATTAATTTCCGTTGGTAGGATTTAATTTCCGACAACATTTCACTTCCGCCAAGCCCCTCTCTCTATATATCTTCCTCCCACGCTTAGGCCTCATTCTTTTCCTGACTTCGTGCTGCCAACACATCCTAGAAAGTTCCCTACCTTATGAACCTTGTATTCAGTTGTGCTTAGTGCAGTGTAACGTAACAGATAAACCTAGAGACATTGCAAGATTTTGAGTTAATCGATTTTGCCATGTCTTAATCTCACGTGACAACTTGCTCACTCATAAAATGGTGTCGAGAATTAACATAGTTCTGTTTTGCAGTGACCTCTCATCGGTGAATAATGAACCATTTCTGCCCTTGCAATGTATAAACTCAACATCACCACGTGCCCGTGTAACGATATTCACCACGTGTTTCTGGTAACATCACCACGTGCCTGTGTAACGACATTCACCACGTAACGTGTTTCTGGGACATCACTACGAGCCCGTGTAATGACATTCACCACGTAACGTATTTCTGGGGACATCACTACGTGCCCGTGTAACGACATTCACCACGTGTTTCTGGCAACATCACTACGTGCCCGTGTAACGACATTCACCACGTATTTCTGATAAGATCATTACGTGCCCGTGTAACGACATTCACCACGTGTTTCTGGTAACATCACTACGAGCCCGTGTAACGACATTCACCACGTAACGTATTTCTAGGGACATCACTACGTGCCCGTGTAACGACATTCAGCAAGTGTTTCTGGCAACATAACTAATAGAGTATAGTATCATCGGCATTGAAGAATAGGCCTGGATAGGCTTGTCGCCAATTCTTGTACTTTTCTTGACTAGACTGGTATTTTGATCAAATATCCTCAACGGACGGTAGGTTTAAAAATCACTTCTAGATTTCAGTTGTTCCGTAGCCCGTGTAACGACATTCACCACGTAACGTGTTTCTGGCAACATCACTACGTGGCCATGTAACGACATTCACCACGTGTTTACGGTAACATAAGTTCTGCCTGCAACGTCGCCATGACGACGTCACGTTTCATCACGCAACCAGGTGCATCTCGTCGAGCCAAACACCTCATCTTCACCAGTGGCCTGGTCTCATTTCATTTTTTCATTTCCGGGCCGTCGATCTCCGTCAGGGACTTGCCCCCCCCCAGGGTCCCGAACCAGGCACGCCCTCTGGTGCCTCGCCATATTGGCGGCCGACAGCACCCTGTTGCACCCCGGACACTGAGCGACCCTCCCTCTGCTGGCTCTCACAGGCTCCTCCCCTCCTTCCCCCACAACCGCTTCAACGTCTCGTCCCCAGCGTCCTCCCTCACACGCCCCCCCCCCCCTGACCCTCCCCCTCCAGACTCTCACCCTCCCCCTTCCGACTCTCCCCGGCTCCTCCTCACCGTCGCCAACGTCTCGTCCCCCAACACACCCCCTCACATGCCTCGCGTAATTCCCCTTTGTAATCCACGTATTGCCTATCCCGCACTGTCTCCTGTCACCCACTCCACTCGCTCCACCAGTACACGTCCTCTCATGATTCACTCTCGCACCCTCTGTCTCAACACTCATACCACATATGCTACGTACAAACCTCACTCGCTTCTCAGCTACTCTATGCATGCGCTTCTGGTGGTTGGTCAGGCCCGCCTTACTTCGGCAGACCTTCCCACACCCCTCACATCTGCACACCCAGTCATTCATTCTTCTAACATTCCTGTCCACTCTCGCCACATTTACATCCCAAGCGTACTCATGCCCTTTCTGACATTCCCAATCATACAGATGCTCCATTCGTTCTTTCACCATGCTCTTCCATCCATCCCTATCTCTGCTCAGCCGCTCCACATCAGTCCAGTCCACTCCCGCTTCCTTCAACATCCGTTTCCAGTACAAGACAGTCTTCCTCTTACGCCCTTTCATCTTCCCGAAACCTTCCAACCTCTCATATCATCCTAGCACCATCGCTTTCGTCAGCCTCTCATTTCCCATTCTCATAACATGCCCCACTCGCTCCAACACACGCTTCTCAATCTTCCATCTCACACTCTTTACACTCAAACACTTCCTCACATCCCACATGTTCACTCCGCTCGCTTGCATTTGCCTCAGAGACTGACCATTCCGATCACTCCACACGTATCTATAACACTTATCCATCCACTTTTGCAACCGGTACATATCCTTTACCTACCACACTCTCGCCTGACAATCATACAGCAGACTACTCCCCACGCATGCCTCCACCAACCTCGCCTGACACTTCTTAGACATTCTCGACCCTTTCAGCCACCCTTTCACTCTCCACCACTAACTTCCAGCTCTCTTGATCCTGTTATTCACATCCACTTTCGAACTAACCCAGCTCCTAAGTACTCTGATTTCACCCCCCTCTTCCGTCCCAAACTCAAGCACCTCCTCTTTCTCCTCATTGTTTCGTTCCTCCCACTGATTCATCACTTCTTTCACTGCTCACACCATTCTCAATCTCACCCTTCACACCCACAATCGTAGTATCATCCGCAAACAAAGCCATGGACCCTCTCACACACTCACTACTCCCCTTCTCCTATGCACTCTCTCCAGCAAACGAACCCCCTGGCACCCATCTCCACGTCACCCCCACCTCTTCACCCCCGCTTCTTCTCGCCACCTCCGCTTGCCTCATAACCGCCTGATGGTACACATTAAACAAGATGGTGACGTAGGGCACCCCTCTCGCAGACCTCTCGCAGGCACCCAGCTTTCACTCACTCCCTTCCCTCTCACCTTGTCAACAGTCGACTCATGCAGATCCACAATCGTATTTCGATTGTGCATCGAAATTTCCCTTTCATTCCATACCTCTCAAGCAACCTCCACAAACCCGGTTTGTTCACTCTCGGATACGCTTTTCTCAAATCCAGCAGTCTCGCCACAGGCCACAGGCCACTCCTCTTCATTCATGCCCTCATTCTCATTCAGTTCAATTCTTCTCTTCAAATCAACCACGTCCTCTTGCATACGAACATCATTTGCACCACATCCGCTGTCGACCTACCCTTTCGAAAACCTGCCTGTTCCTCATCCAACAACCCCAAATACTCAGCCCACCATGCCACTCTCTTCGCTATCACCCTCGCAAGTATTCTGCTCCCCATGCTCAACAGACATACCCCCCTATAGTTATTACAGTCATTCCTATCACCCTTCTTGTATAACGGAATCATAACGCCTACTTTCAAAGATTCATCCAAAGCATCCGCTCTCTTCACAAACATTTCTCTCACCAACTCAATCACTCTGTCTCTCACTCCTTCGTCCGCCCACTTAATATATCCAATCCTCACTCAATCTTCCCCAAGCGCCGACTCTTTCATATCTTTCATAGCCGCAACAATCTCTTCTCTTTCAGGCACTTCATTCAGTCGATGATTTGCCTCTTTCGCACTCTCGCAGGTCAGTCGCACCATTTACCGCCCGTTTTATCACTCTCGGCTCCTCTTCATACCTCTCGCACGTCACTCGTTCAAAATGCTCCTTAAATTCATTCAGACAGATATCCGCACTCGCTCCCGCCTTGCATCCTCGTGTGCCAATCTTCCTCAAACACTTGTACATGTCTCCCACTCTGCCTGTCGCACACGCTTCCTCACATTCCCCAATCTTATTCTCTCACCACTCTCGTTCAAGCTGCCTCAACCGTCTTCGCAAAGCTCTCCTCGCCTGCTTCACCTCCTCTCTCGCTCCAGCCACCTCTCTTTCCAGCCTCTCCATCAGTCTGCCATCTCTCCTCTGCCTTCTCCTATTCCCCACCAGTTGCATCATTCCATTTCTCAAACGCACCGCCGCACTCACTCTCTCATTCAACGCATTTAGCTCATCTTTATACCCAATTGTCCAGGGATTCTGAACACCCTTCTCACATACTCCACATACTTCTTTCGCCGCCTCAGTCATCACATCCGCAAGCACCTTCCATTTATTACCTTCATTTATTCGCTCACTTGCCTCAGTCATCCTCTCATTCGTTTCCACCTTGTATTCCTCCCTCTTCTCCCATTCTTTCAACACCTCCCACTTTATCCTTGGCATTCTTCTCGTATTCCCTCCTGGCACTCTCCATCTTTTCCCCTTCACTCTCACAGTCATCCCTACTGCCTTGTGATCCAACAACTCGTATTCTCCATCCGTCCTCATCTTTCTTACCATCCACCTCCTGTCACTCTTCCTCATCACAAAACCATCCAACTCGTACCATCTACCATACCTCACATTAAAGCACGTCCCTCTCTTTTTTTACCTCATGTAGCTATTCACATACTCCAACTCATCCTCCCCACACCAATCAATCAGATCCCTTCCTGCTTCATTCATGTTTCCAATGCCATACCTTCCGCACGCCCCTTCCCATCCATTCCCTCTTCCCACATTCGAGTTGAAATCTCCCCCTATAATCAATTTCTCACTCCCACCACACGCAACTTGATTCTCAACCGCTCTTCTGTACCTCTCCATACCGTCATCGTTCGTTCCCCACACAGGCTGATACACTGATACCAGACGCAACCTTCCCAACACCACAGCAGTCACTCTCTCCTCAAACCATCTCTTCTGTCCCTCTCCCACCCACACCTCTAGCACCTCACCCCTCAAAACCACGGCCTAACCCAGCAGAAATAGCCGAATTATTGACGTGCGACTCAGCAAAAGTGTCGACGCAGGTTGCATCCCAGCACAAACACCTCCCATTAGAAAACGGGAAAACCGTTAAGCCATCTGGTCTCTTACCATCTCCTCTGTCCACTCCAACGGGTTCAAGGCATGAAGGAACGCCAGCGCTCTGAAGAGCCCTCCTGATCACATCATTCAGAACCGAGTGTCTTGGATGTCGCCCAGCGCATGGCCTTTCTTGTAAGTACAGCGCTGGGCGACATCCAAGACACTCGGCTCTGAACGATGTGATCAGGAGGGCTCTTCAGAGCGCTGGCGTTCCTTCATGCCTTGAACCCGTTGGAGTGGACAGAGGGGATGGTAAGAGACAAGATGGCTTAACGGTTTTCCCATTTTCTAATGGGAGGTGTTTGTGCTGGGATGCAACCTGCGTCGACACTTTTGCTGAGTCGCACGTCAATAATTCGGCTATTTCTGCTGGGTTCGCGGCTCGTGCGGCGGAGGATAGCAAGAGACGTAAATACGCGGCGTTGGCAGCTCGGTATCGTTTCGAGCCAGTCGCATTAGAAACGACGGGCACATTTGGTGAAACGACTGGTCCTTTAATATTACGGATTACGGAATTGTCCGGCAAACGTAGACAGACTCTATGGTTGGAGCAAAGGTTGTGTTTGGCTGTGCAGAGAGGCAATGCAGCTAGCATCCTAACAGCAGTCAGAGAAAAGTTCGACGTAGGCCCGCTCCTCGCTCGCGTCACAGCTCAGTGACCCTCGGAGTCGGTGTAGGCCACCATCAGAGGCGTTAAGGTCGGGGCCCTGATCATTGACATGAAACCATTCCCTGTCTTCAATTAATGAAATTAATAAATCATTTTTCTTGGAATGGTGAGTGTGGGGGGCCTTTAAAAAAAATCTACTCTATCACTCTCCTCAAACGCCTCCTATTATGCTCTCTCATAGACAATCTCTGCACATTCCACGTCACAATCACTCTCTCACTCCTTTGCCTCCCATCCACAACCTCATCCTCTCCCTCTCGATCTTTCCTCCTCCGACCCTCGTGACGCCTTTCCCTCCTCACTTCTCTTCGCCTCTCTCCCACTCCCCTCCGTCCCCTTCAGTTCCTCGGCCCGGGGTGCGGGTGAATGGACCGGAGTCCAATCACCCTAAGGGCTACTGCCAGCCTGTCCAAAACGGCTCGCCACCGTCCGGCAGGCATTGATGCGGGCCCCCGAGGGGCCCTCGCCTTGAAAGTTTTTAAAGAGGGGTCCGGGGCAGCTAGTCCCATCTTCCTCTGTTGTGAGCGGGGGGTGTTGGGCATCTCCCCTTGCGGCTTGATTCCACATTACCCCCGCCCCCGGTGGATCCTTTGCCGCTCCAGGGGCCAACAGCTGCTGGCCCCGGGCGAGTCCCCCTTGCGCCACCGGAGGCGAACCACCGAGCAAGGAGTGGCCTGGTCTCCCAATTCCTCCGGATCATCATCATCATCGAGCAGGTCACATGAGCTTAATCAAATAAAGTGTAAATAACTAATGTTGTTGTATTAATTACCGCGTAATTATATCAAGCCGCCTCTCAGATATCTGTCCATTCTAGTGAAAATAACTCTAGTTACCTTGGCCTCAATATCCACTGATAGGAGTCAAATAATTATCGAAAGTGGTCGGGCATTTAGCCCCCACACCAACGCCTGCAGAAATGCCCAACGAAAATGTTGTGCATGAATTCTTATATATACCTACAATTCAGATGACTGATAACAATCGCAGACTGTAACAGATTGACCGAACATTTCGAACATTTCAATCCCGGCAATTTGAAAATCCCTCGAAAATTGTATTGAGTATCTCGAAAAACGAACAAAAAGAAAAAAAACTTAGATGGAAAAAATTTGACGAATCCATTTTTGACCAATTTGGTTTTGGGATCCTATAGGTCTGTAGTTTCATTCTGATAGAAACACAGATTAAGTTTAATCATCAGCAGTTAATGACAATAAAATGAATGGACATAGACTTGAAATGAGAGGAATTCATACTTTACAAAAGAAAACACCGAAAACTTTCTCACTTTAAGAAAGTTCTTCTTTGATCTAATATAAAACAATACATATAAATATATGTATTTATATGTATCTATATCTAATATAAAACAATACAGTTTTTGGTACGAAGACCAAAAACTGCTTAATTGGCAATTCCTTCCACGCTCGAGTGATTTTAGAGGTGGTGTTAGTGTGATCTTTACGATATTTTTCACCCTAATGTTACTTATTTTTACATGTTAGAGTAAAGCTATATATAAACAGAAATAATATGTACTGAATACGCACATCGTAGTGGTCAGCGATGTGTTGCATGATCTTCAGAAGCATGAGGTGCCTGCGCTCGAAATGGAAGGCTGCGTTCGCGAAACGTTTAGTCTTGTCATTCTGTAATTTTCAATCTTATCAATTCAAGACAAAAGAAGTTTGTAAAATAAGGTTTAAGTGCTGTTCTAGCTTAATTTTTATTCTAGAACGAACTGCATTACTAATAGCTCTGTGAAAAGAAAGCTACTAACCACTCGACTATAATTTGGGAAATTGGAAAATGCAAATCAATTGTTTGAAAAGGATTGGTTATTTCATAAATGAGAACAGATTTCCGACAAGATATTTCTTCTGTTATTGCCACTGATTTATGCACAAACACACATAGCACGTATTTTCCCTAATTCTGTAACCATACAACATAGAAACTTTGAGAGATATACTGTATGTATTTGAGAACTACCAATGACGAAAATTATAATTATATCATGTTTCACACCTTTTGTAAATTAGTAAAGGGTTTTATTGAATATGCTTTCAGTTTCATAGTTTGGCACTATAATGGCGAGACTTACGTATAGCGCTATAAAATTCGTGAGATTAAGGACAGATCTCAGGGCCAGGGTGTCCATGTCAGAGTAGAAGCCTCCTGACTTGTAGACAACCGCCAGTCTACAAAGGTCGCTCAAGTTGTAGGGCAGGAACTCTTCAACTGCAAGTTGAGGAAAATGTTTCCGAAATTTTAAATTCAAGGAATCTATCTTCTTGAAATTAATCAGGTTGACCAGCATTTGTTGTGCAAATTTTCACGGATGTTAATTTATTTCATTTTACGCCAACACCGACAAATTCCTGACATTAAAGAGTACTCGTTAATTCTCATTAATTATTGTTAACTACTTGATTAGAATTTCATCGTTTTGGACGCAAAAACTATTTCCTTAGACTCCACGCCTATATGAAATTGAGTGGCATCGGTGCTCCAGTTTTTAAATGTACAGTAAAACTTATGGTTAACAAATGTGGGCACTCAAAACACGGATGATGAACCTTGTTTTCGAACTTTACTCACGAGTTTCAGCGAATTTATCAGATGCGTAGAGTCCAGCAAGCGGCGTGTCGTTGAGCGCTAAGTTGAAATCGAGGTAAGCGAGGCGGAGGTTACGGTGGACGGCAACCACCTCCATCAAGTCCACCCACGAGGCCTCCACCAGCGTTGCTGACGTCACCAGGTACCAGACTGTGGCGTTCCGGTTAGCGGAACACCAACTTGAAAATTATAGGAGCTTAATTCCTTTCATCCAGTGATAAAACATACGGAAGAATTTCAGCAGCTACCAACGTAAAAGAATATAAACATATATTGGGAGTATAAATAAAGATAAGAAACATATATGATCTGAGAAAATTTACGTGAAAACTTTACCCACAAACAAAATTACAAGGGAAGAAAGTTACGCGAGACGTGAATTAACACGAAATGAATTTTTCTGGAAAAATGTATGATAGATGGAAACTAATGCGAAAAAAACTTTCCAGGAAAAAATGTCGTACACGAGATGAAGACTAACACAAAATGCACCTTTCTGAAAAAAAATGTATGAGAGATGAAAACTGACTTGATAATAACCCTTCTGGAAAAAAATGTCGTTCAAGAGATGTAGACTAACCGAGTAGAATAGGAATTACGGATGTTAATTAGGGTTTGATTTGGGGGAGAATGCGAAAAGCAAGATATAGGCGAAGTGGTTGTTCCTGTTCACAGGGGAAGACGGTGGGTTGTTTAGGGTAGAACCCAAAGCGACGCTCCGTTGCCGGTTGCGGGGTATATAAGTAGTGGGGCGTGCGTCTAGTGTAAAGAGTTCAGTTCGGAGTAGATCGAGAGCCAGGCAGTCTACAGCTGGCAGTCGGTCCTATGTCGTTGTGTGTCCTGACCAAGTTGGTGGTCAGAGTATTTTGATGTGCTAGGCGAAACTGCCACGAGAAACGCACGCTTACGAACGAAAAGATTTATAATTACAAGCCGTCCGAAGCTTTACAAAAGGATTTCGAATATACCCGCGAACACCTAGATGAGCAGTGAAGCAAGTGACGGTGACGTCGACCAGCCCTCAGTATCCAGTGCCTCCGTCCCGAATCCGGTGATGTACCAGTTTAGGGAAACTCAAGTTAGGCATTTCTTTTATTTTATGCTGTCCGATTTTTGTACTTAGGTCTGTGTCGGATTTTTATAATAAAGGTCGCGTTAAATTTTCCATGTGTTTTTATTCTTCCTTTTGTTAACTCGTGATTGCCGGAGAGAGAACCATTATTTGTCATTTCAGCCACTATGGCCTAATCCACCTGACAACTAAATCTTTTGGGTTACTCTAGAAAGGACGATCGAAATAAAATACCATCAAATAAAACAAAGTGAATTTTGAACTTAATCAAGTGGTGTCAGGTGTTGGGTTTGAAAGGTTTCGCGGTAAAGTACATTGCGAGGTTTGGATTGATTGAAATAATACCGTTTTTAACGATTTGTCATTTTTAGTTTTGCGGAACATCAATTTTGATGTAGGACTCTTCATACTGTGCTAGAATTTGTTTGAGAACTTGTTTTCTTTTTCGTGCAATAGTGATGGCAAAATTATTATTCACAATGTCCCAAAGAATTACTGTTCGGTGTATATTCCAGCGTTATGCTAATACCGGAAATGAGTGGCAGTAAGTCTGAAGGCAGTGCGGAGTGATAATACTAAGATGTTCTCCTCGAAGTTCGAAGTGAGGGATTATTTGCGATAATCTGTAGAGATGAATGAATAGCTTATTAAGAAAAATTTACAGATTAAGGTAGTCAGGCAGGCGCAATATATTTTTATTTGAAGTGATCTACGTATTATTATATTTGCCTTGTTATTGAGATCTCGTATCTTGGTGGAAAAAATCGACTGTAGAATTATGCATTATTTCATCGGTGCTGCACACAAAGGCATGAACGGTGCAGTTTCGTATTAAAAAAATTATCTTTCTGTTTGATTTTATTTTTGTTGGTAAATCTTAACTTTTAATTGTGTTCAGTTAACTTTTCTGCCGTAACACAATTCGTTTTCAATTGAATGTTATAAATGAAATCGTCCTAAACGTTTTTTTATAATTCAGTGAAGCGCGATTAAAGTGATTTCAAAACTTTTCATAATAGTAATGGAATTTTAGGGTCTGAAATAAAATTTTGTGTTAAATAGAATGAAAAGTTTTTTTGCCACTACTACATACAAACATGTAAACAGCTCGGTCTGGTGTGCTGAAATGATATTTGCTTTGTGATTTTTTTATGTGCGTATGCTTACATTTGTATCAAATAGATATTTTCTGACATTTTTTATCTGAGTGTTGCAGTTAAATTCTAGAGCTAAATTTTCGTAAACGTTCGAAAACTGGATGGCGCAAGATTAGGCTGACTGTATTATCAAACCTCTACATAATAGTGCTGGAATTATACAGAGATGAATTTTTTAGGCACAGTATATCAACACGTAGTTAAGTGTAGAAGTTGCCGCGTTCATTTTAAATTAGAATTACTCTAGAATACCGACTCATTCATGACAATGTATGATTTTTTCTAATGGTACCTGATGGTGTTTACAATCCCCTGGTGTTTACAATAATTTCATTGCACGTGAATTGGGGCGATGAATAATAATTATCGGAATATGCTGAATGAAAGAGAATGAGATCAGGTATCAGCAGCGTGATTTATAACTATAGGATGTCTGGCTAACGAATATTTCGAATAGGGTGCGGTCTCTTTGAAGGTGAAGTGCTTAGGAGCGAGCCATAAAACTGACCTGACTTGGATGTGACTTAGAAGTGAGAGATAAGATTGCGATTTTTAAAGCAGAATTGATGATCATATTTTGCTGCAAATGATGATGAATTACGAGAAGTTTGATGAGTAATTCTTTGAGATTTTAAATGATTGGAAATGTTTAAAGAGGTTTCAAGGCAGCTCAGGAAGAGAACTCGCAATGCCAGGATGGCTGAGATTTGACAAGATATGAGGCGCCGTTGATAAGGCGGAGATTTGACATGATAAGGCGCTGTTGATAAGCGGGATGATTTTTGGATCGAGTGACGGCGTTGGAATATGTTAAGGATGTTTAGGTAGAAGTAGTATAGGAGTGAGCGTACCGTCACAATTTGCATAAACAGCGTAACAGGGTACCGATCATTTACTCCGAATATTACCCATCAAAATTGATCAATTACTCCCGATGATTTAACTACAATTTTATTTAGAATCCTCACCATCAAAAATTTGAGCACTGTCTTTCGATCGAAAACCTGACAATCTTACCTCGAATCTTGATCATCAATTTCATGGGTTAACGACCAATTACCCCGATTGACCGAGCACTTTTTAGCCCCGAGAACTCAAGGCTTGAGCTTGTGTTTTGATGGAAGATATTTCTTTGGGGGTGTATGATTAATTTAAATTTTCTAAATACTTTCCAGAACCGGGGTGCTCATCTTTATTGATGGACACGAAACTATAAGGTACCTTAAACGTTTCATAACACAGTTCTTGAAACTCTGCAAAGGGCATATTACAATGTAATCACTATGAATATTCTTCATATCGATTACAAGTAAATCGAATTGAATTAATAAATTTGAATTCGTTCTAATTGTTTGTCTCCGTAAGTAATAGTCCTCTGACTGGTCATAGTCTGCTTACCCATCCATACTCATATCCACTCATACCCATATCCATACCCACCCATACCCATATCCATACCCATCCATACCCATACCCACCCATATCCATACCACCCATATCCATATCCATACCCACCCATGTCCATATCCATACTCACCCATACATATACCCATCCATACCCATTGTCATTAGCCTACGTTCGCTGAGCGCACAACCAATTATGTCATTAGCCTGCGCTCGGCGAGCGCACAACCAATTATGTCGTCAGTCTGCGCTCGCCGAGCGCACAACCAAGTAGGTCATTAGCCCGCGCTCGCCGAGCGCATCAGGCCAGCGCTGCTTCAGCTCATGGTCACCTATACGCACCGACCACAACACACCATTATTAATAGCACGCAACCGACTCAAGCCCACGAACCAAAAACACCGATTACTAGACGTCACCTCTCCATCGACAGGCATCACTAATTTAAGCATCGAGTCACCACCCACATTCAGTATCAAACTATATGTCAAATGTTGTGTTTTATTGCCCTTTTTAATTTTATCAAAGAGATCAAATCAATAATTTTTCAAGGTGTTTTTAATTTTTTCTATATAAAATGGGAGTTGATAAATCATCTAATGTAAGTCATGTGAAAAAAACATACATTGAATACGAAAACCCTTTGGATTAATTTCTTAGGTAAAATGAAAGCAAGTATTGTCAGCATGAACCATTGTGAAGTTTGTAACACAGTAGTTAAAAACTTAATGAAACATATTGAAACTCAGAGGCATCTGAAAGCAATTGACAATTCGATCATATCAAATGAATACTTTAATTCAAAGATAGAATGTGTAATTTGCAATCGCAAAGTTCAAAACTTAAAAATGCATGAGCAAACAAACGTCCATAGAAAACGTTTAAATGGTAGCATATTAGCCAGTTCTTCTTTTATTGTAAACTTTGTAATTGAGAAGTGGACGATATTGGAATACATGAAGATTCAAATGTGCATTTTAAAAATAAATTTGAATGCATGCGAGGTGATATTAAGAAGGCTGTAAATGATATATGCGCATAACATATTTATCATGATAAAAGAACGATAGATCCGAAGTTATTTCTCACGAATATAACATCTGAAGTTATTCAAGCAATAAGGCGGTCAAATTCGATAACATAAAATTACAGCTGAATTTGCAAGTCGAGTTTTATAAATTCAAATCAGGCAGCGAGAAAATCTATAATACCGCTTGGTTCAATTCAAACAGGTTTATAGAACTTTCAAGGATTCACTCAAATTCAAATACAATTAAAAGACTATGATAATCTGATGCATAGAATCGATGAATTTACGAACAACTCTCCTGGATGGATATTAAACAAGTTGCTAAACTTCACAATCAAAATTGTTGAATACAAACCTTTAGGTGGTTCTAGCTATATTGAATTACCTGAAAAATTGAGAAATCCAAAATATAAGTTAATAAATATTAAAAACCAAGATAACATGTGCTCCAAGTGGACGGTCACGCGCCACTTCTGCAGAGATGAAAAAAATGGTAACAGAATAACGAAAATAAT